AAATAAAAGAACCCATATTCCTAAAGCATACCGAGTAAGAAGTATGCACTCCAACACCTTTTTCTGAAAATTGCCATCCAACCAGGAGCAGAACCAGCATTAAACAGTATATTACGCAGTCAACTCAGCCAACTTTTGTATATATACACCATGGTTCAAAATTGTTGACTTTAAAACTAGATAGTAATGATGCATAAAATGACAGATAGCAAGCAACAGGCTATGGCATATTTCCTTCTTACAGAATCAACAGAAACAGAAATGAAAATATGTATGAAAAATAGCCATAGTGAGATAGTTTAAAAAGCACGTAATCATGGAATTAATTTAATTTACTTATTTTCAGTTGGAAAAGGCATTCAATAAAATGGGCACATTTCTTATTTAAATGTATCCAGAGAAAGAAGGTCTCTCAATATTACAATGTCAAAAAATATACACTATGACATAAAAGATGTTTAATAGACTATACTAGTTGAAATAAATTTTTCCTAACAATGGAAAAATAATTTGCCATTCTGAGATATTTTTTTAACTTTATAGTTTAAACTAGAGTACTTGAATTTCCTAATGATCACCCATCAAAAACAGATTCCACTTAGGTTTTGTCGACATCAGCAAAGGTCAAGCAGGTGCTGCCTCCTTTAAATCAAAAGCTTTCCATAGATTCTTCCCCAACCTAATCTGTTTCAAACATCAATGTTCTTATTTTTTGCTAGCGTCTTATACATGTCCATTGTAGTTACCAGATCATTTACTGAGATGTTACAAATAAGTGAACTCAATGACATTTGATATATCATACAGACTAAACATGTGGTTTATTTACAAGTGACATGCCAATCTAACCAATGTAATTCATGAGCTATCATTATGGCAAAATGAGTGAATGCACATGCTAAACGTGTTAACATTTTGTGTGAGGCTCTATCAATAATCTTAAAGTTTCTTGCCAGGATTTTTGCTGTAAGTGGCAAGTTAAGAAACCATAGTATTTAATAATTGAGGAACACAAATTAAGACACTAAGGACAGTAACAGCAAACATATTGGAGTGAACATTTAGTAGTAAAGCAAAGCTTTCTCTGCCTCCTTCTGCACTATAGCATTAAATGCATAATGTGAGTACTATTTATCATCCACAATTAAATAATGGAATATTGTCTTCCTATATACTTTGAATATAAATGTTTTTAATAAAAAAAAAAGAAACGACAGTATTTCCTATATTGCAACAGCAGACATTAAAATAAACTTACTTTTATCTAAGGAAGACTCTTCAATGAAGCATACACAAGATAAAATTTCTAATCTGTGAAAAGTTTACTAACTTCCTTGTCCCTAGTCAAAAGAGATACTATTTGGTTTTTCAGTTACTAATCTATCATATGGAGGGAATACGAAGTAGGTGTCTTGCCAGTGATACCCTTAAATTACTCACACAGTGGCTAGTTCACACATCATAGTAAGTCTGTAGTAATTCAACCCGGCATCTTAATGCAAAGTGAGAACCTAATAAAAGCTGTCATCTAGACAAGAAAGAAGCAGGAGTCTGTAATCTCCTGTCTCCACTAAAGTACTAATCAGTCACAACCATGCTTAATTTCCGATCTGAGATAAGGTCAGCTAAATACCGCCACCTGCTGAGAATAAAGGATGCTGATTATAATAAATTAAAGTCTCCTTCCAGTTTCATGCTGCAGTAAGATTTCCTCTTTTTGAAATGTCCTTATGCTAACAATTAATGTGAATAAACTAAATTTCTGTTCATATATAGCAACACCTGGAATAAAAAAATACTCAATATAGTGGTACCATTGGGTTTTTAAGTAAGTTCATTTTTAATTATTTATCCCACACATTCATATGGGTTGGAGATGAATTTCATGCATGACAACACTACTACAACACTTTCTAGCTGGTCAATAATATTCTCATTTAAATAATAATATAAAAATAAAAATTGGTTTTAAAAGAAAAAATGCAAAAGATCTATGCTTATGTTGAATATTTCTTTGCAATCATTATCCAGAAAGATAATGGATATTTTTTTCAATTTTTTTAACAAAACTTATACATTTTACA